GTGTCTTTAGAGCAGAATAAAACATAAAGCCTTGAAGAATACTCATATTTATAGGTTTTTAGAAAGAAGCAGCAGCAACAGATTGCCAGGAGAGTACTCAGGTGTTTCTGAGGAAAGAGGCATCATTTTATAATCACTAGATCAGATAGAGAGGTCAAGGAAGGTGAGAATCAGAGTTGGTCATCAGATTGGTGAGGAAGAGAGATCTCAGGATGGTGATCTAAGGAAACCGGATTACAAAGAGTTACTAGAGTGAGTGGGTGGTGAGGAAGAACAGGCTGTAGGATGGATTACAGTTTTAAGATACTTGTCAGAGAAAGGAAAGAGATAGGAAGACGGTAATCGAAGGGGAGAATTTTTCTTAGACTTGAGTGAGGTGAACATGCTGGTAAAGAAAGCTGTAATTAAAATAGACTGAATAATGCTTACTGCATGCTTACTGCAAACCACGTGTGGGTGGGGTGGTCTTAGAAAAGAGGAGAATCCTCTCATCCTCTTGTTAAGAAGGAGTTGAGAAAGCTTATCAAGTAGAGAGGCCTGTGTGGGAGTGGACAGGTTCAGGTGGACAGCCGTTGAGGAAGGTCCTGCCAGTGACCTTGATATTTTCAACAAAAATGTGAGAAGGAAGTGTGGGTAGGATTTGGTATCTTGAGAAATGTAGCAAAGTCTTTCAGCAGTTCTGAGTTACCAGTTGACTACCCATGGACCAGAGAATCTAATGTTGCTGGATACTGAGTTGATAGGAATGACATGGAGGCAAGAATTCTCTTGACAGAGAGAGAGAGAGAGATGTGTATGTGTATGTATGTATGTGTGTGTATATATATATATATATATTTTTAAACCCCACCTTATTCTTACTTTCCTACTACTTCCACAATTGTTTTTGTAGTCACCTTTTGGATAAAATATCACATGGAAATTTTCTTTTTTTTTAATCCACAATTGAATTTTGGGGGATGATCATTTTTAAGTTCATGTAGGAAAAATTTTTTTTTTTTTAATTTTTTTACTAAAATATTTTGTTTATAGGTAACCAGATCCAGTAGTTACACCAGAAAGTCCCAGTTCCAGGTAGAAGAAGAAGACATTGAAAAACTAGAAATTAGGTATGTGTCTTGGAGTTTTACAGAATTGCTTTTTTCTGTGCCAAAAAAGAAAATCCTCAGTTTAACTGAAAAAGTTGAACCAGCCTTAAGAGTTCTCTGTAGCAAGTTGGTTGATGAAACTTAGAGGAACATGCATCTAATTTAAATCTAAACTATCTTTTCAGAATCTGATTTCTTTGCAGAAATAGGTTTACTTATTTTATAAACAAATATGACCTAATTTCCACCTATTTTATTGTATTAATTTTTTATTTTTCCAAATTTAATTGTTCCTTAAATTTCTGGATTATAGCATAATGGATGGAGAAGAAATTATATCTCATCCAATTTAGAAATAATTTTCTTATTCTTCTTAACATATGTGCTGTCTAACAGAAATTTCAGTGAGGTAAGATAATTCAACAGGTGCATGTGTTTGAAGTTTGTGCTGTTTCTTAGGCCTTAAACATCTATGCTGTTTGAGAAGAAAAAATTTTATAAATGCATGTATAGGTGTGGTGTTAACAGTGTGTTTATCTAAATGGTATATTAATCATGTGTTTGAAGTGATCAGGTAATGTATTTTTCTAAATCACTTATTTTTATATCTTAATTGGTTGTAATCAAGAGAGAAATTATTGGTTTCTTCTTTCAAATTTAACAAAGTAACTTTGAAGTTCTTATTGCTATAGATTGAAATAAAGCCTGGAAACTTAGAAACTTAAAGGCCTTTTTTTAGACTGTTTAAATTTATTTTCTGTGCTTTTAAAATAAAAACTACTGTAACATTTTACTTTCCCAGTATAGATAGTGAAGTATATGACATTGCTAACATCTCTCAAGCATGTAAAATTAATGCTATAATTTTCAAATTAGAGTAATTTGAAGCTATTTGATGTGTGTATTCTCGTAAACATGGTTTGTAAAAAATAAGGCCAGTTTTCAATTTTCAGGATCGACTTGTGGAACAATGGAAACCTGGTACAAGATGTTTTCCTAGGTGAGATTAAGGTTCCTGTGAAAGTGTTAAGAAATGACACCTTTCATCAAGCCTGGTAAGAAGACAAGCATTCTAATGAGCTACATAGTTTAATCCTCTTTAATTTAGTATATTTGCAAATGAATGCTTACTATGAGCATAATTAAATTTGCCACGGAATAAGCCAAATGCCACTAGTGTGGATTTGGTCATTAATTCATTGTTGCAGAACTATAAGTACATTGTAAATTTTGTGACTTGACCTGTGATACTGGGATAAAAGAACTGAATTGTCTAGGAATCTTTTTCTGTTCAGAAATAAAGTCTTAACTCTAAGGAGACAGTGAGAAACATTTAAAACATTACTTAAGAGTTGTCCATATAAGAAAATGCTTGCTCACAAACCAGTATCTGCAGTTCACAAGTTTTATTAGTGGTCATGGAAACTGTGGATGTTTGAAAGCAAAGGGTTTTGTTTGGAGGATAGTTGTACGAACTAACAGGTGATTTTTCCTTCACTCTCCCCCACTGAAATGCACTGTGAATGGCCCTGATATTATTTTTCTGAATGTCTAGGGTCTCGGTGTTATTCAGTTGCTTTAGTTAATGTACTTCTTAGAAGTTCTGGGGGCTCAGTAATGGCTACAATATTATTTTACCTTTTCATGACTCTGACAGTGATATTAAACTGATAAGTTAATGTCCGGACATTAAAATGATGCTAGTTTCCTTAGAAAAATTGATGTGATTGATTGTTTTATCAGTCTATGGCAGTTAAAAGCATGTGTATCCCATCCCTTTCAGTAGGTTGTCCAATGTCTCACATGCTAGGCTTGAGTTTCCGCTGATTATAAACAGGCATGCCTTTCTCATGCCTTTTCAGGACCACTTTTTTTTTCTTTTTTTCTTTTTTTGTTTGATTCAGGGGCTCACTGTGTCACCTGGGCTGGAGTGCAGTGGCACAATCACAACTCACTGCGGCCTCAACCTTCTGGGCACAGGCAGTCCTTCCTCCACAGCCTCCTGAGTAGCTGGGACTACAGGCACATGTCACAATGCCTGGCTAATTTTTCATAGAGATGAAGGTTGAAACTCCTGGCCTCAAGAGATCCTCTCGCCTCAGCCTCCCAAAATGTTGGGATTAAAGGCATGAGCCACCAGACTCAGGACCACTTTCAGAACACAGTTTCTTCTAGAACTGCCTGGAAGAGGAGTATTTAGATGTTTCTTATGGGGATCAGTCTCATTTGTGGTTAAAAGAGCCTGCCTCTCATGATTGGTCATCAGACATTCTTATTTTGTATTCTTGTCCTTAAGCAGTTATCCCTTGTAGACCTTTTTTAGGTTCTCAGTATTTTTATTTTATTCATACGTCTCCGTAATGTAGACCTAAAATTTATTGGTCTTTATGTTGGCATTTTGTAGGTTTTAATTTCTAAAATCCATCTACGGGGGGACGGGACACAGTCACTAAGAAAAATCTGTGAACATTTGGGGCCCATCATCCTCCCCCTACACCATGTCTTCTTTCACCTTCTATGAAATAGCATTCATTTTAAAGTGAAAATTCTTGAACTTAGTTTGTGGACTTTAAAGATTGTGTCCATACTACTCAGTACTGAAGAGAAAAATGAGTTGTTGTGGCTCCCACGGCCCCTCAAAATGAAATTGAAATGTGCCACATAGCCTGTATTTTACGTGAGACTCTCCAGACATGCCTTCCAGATTTGGTAAAACTTTGTGCAACTGCCTTGGCAGGATGTAAGAACATTAACATGTAAGATACTAACTTTATTCCTATGGGATTTTTTTTGCCCAGTAGTATAGTTTAACCTGACAAAAGTACAAGCTCAGAAATTTATATAATATGAAATAGAAGCTTCTGTGGATTCATTTATACTTCCATAGATGTAGGGAAATATAAATATGTGAGTGTCATTTCCTTTTAAGTCAGAAATTACTCAGCCCCATTCATCAGTGTAGAGCTATAGCACCCCCTCGTGGTAATGATAGTAACTGCATGAAAACTTAAGAAAAGATGTGCCCTCAGGGTTTCAGGCATATTAGGAAAGAGAATACTTATTAGTATTTTAGTTTAGTTGCTTGAAAAGTCTTAATTTACTTTCCTTTTCCACATAATTTCTCTTAGTATTGGTGTATTATAGTCTTTTCTCTAAAAACTGGTTTTTTATTCTGATTTAATTTTATCCTCAAGTTGTAACAGGATTCAATCATCTTCTCATTCCATCTATCACTATTTAGTTATCTTTTTTTTTTTTTTTTTTGAGTCGTAGTCTCACTCTTGCTTAGGCTGGAGTGCAGTGGCATGTTCACAGCCCACCGCAGCCTCAACCTGCTGGGCTCAGGCAATCCTTCCACCTCAGCCTTGCAAGTAGCTGGAACTACAGGCATGCACTACCACGTCCAGCTAATTTTTTTGGTTCATGGTAGACAGAGGTCTCGCCTTTGCCTCCCAAAGTGCTGGGATTACATGCGTGAGCCACCACGTTTGGCAGCTATTTAGTTCTTTAATAATTATGTGTGTTCTTTATTCTGATGCTTCCATCAAGTGTTAGGATTGCCGCCTTAGTGTTGTTTTTTTTACCTTTAACGTCTGTAGATTGTAGAATTTTATTTGAGTTTTTGAATAGATAATATACTTCTGTGGTTCACAAGTTGGAAAGTAAGCTCTGTCCCTAGACCCTGCTCCCTGGCTAGTCAGTTTTCCTCTTTTGAGGCAGTCAGTGTTTTTGACTTTCTGAAAATATTTTATGTATATACAGGCAAGTACATATATACAACTTTTTCTCTTTTTTTACACTAGTGAACACACACCGTATCCTGCTCTGCACTTTTTCCCCCCCATCTAACAGTATAGTAAAACTTCCTTAAATGTTTGTTGACTCTTGATAGTGGTTAAAAGTATAAACTCTGGAACCAGACTTCCATGGTTCATAACTACCTTTGTGACCTTGGACAAGTTACACAGCCAGTTTGTCTTAGCTTTCTTAGGTTATAAAGTGTGGAAGATACAAATATCACACCCTCTTAAAGTTGTTGAGAGGATGATACGAGTTCATAAAAAGTAGGCCAGAGGTACTGTGTTAGTGGATATAATTCATGCTGTCATTGTTACAGTTACTGCTATTGTCATCATCATTCCACATCAGTACACATAGGATTTTTGCACCCCCCCGCTTTTTTTTTGCATAGTATTTCATTGTTTGGAATGTTCTAAATAAAGAGAACCACAGAGGCCAGGCACAATGGCTTGTAATCCCAACACTTTGGGAGTCAGAAATGAGAGGATTGCCTGAGCCCAGGGGCTCGAGACCACCTGGACAATTTGGTAAGACCTCTTCTCTACAATAAATCAAAAAATTCACTGGACGTAGTGGTGGGCGCCTATAGTTCCAATTACTTGTAAGGCTAAGGTGGAAGGATCACCTGAGTTCAGCAGGTCGAGGCTGTGGTGGCCTTGAGTGTGCCACTGCATTCGGGCCTGGGCTACAGAGTAAGACTCTGACTCAAAAATAATAATAATAATAATTAAATAAATAAAGAGATCCATGGGGATAATCTAATTAAGTCTCATTTCTCTAGTTACTTCAGTGTCAGAGAGCTTAATGTGTATAAAGCCTTTATGTGATTGTACAAACTGGTACAATAATTTGCCCTCAGTGATCCAAACTGTGTTGGACATTAAGAAAATAAAATAGATATAAACATCTTTTCATGTTTAATTTTTAGTTTTGAAAATAAGATTCAAGTGGATTAAATAGTTGAGTTGTCTTCAGCATAAGCACTTTATAAATGATTTAAAAACTAGAATATTTTACTTAATATGATTTGGTTTTCTAGTTTGCTGATTTGACATGTTTTCTCCTTAAATATTTTCTTTTTTTTTTTTTGCCTCATGTTTTCAAATAATCTTTTTAATATTTGAATTTTAAAAATTTAGCAAGTCCTCTATCTTCAGTCAAGAAAAATATATTGATAGTTGTTTCTTTATGGAACCAGAAATAACTTTCAAATATTAGTAGATCTGCCTCTCAGCAGTTATTTTCCAGCTTAAGAAACATTACATACAAATAATGTGCTTTTTGTCTGTTTTCCTCAGTTTTAATTACACAGACCTCAGGGTTAAAATTTTTTAATACTGATTTGTTTTCTATTAAGGAGCTATCCAAGCAGCTAACTCTTGGGAGCATAATGATTGCTTTTATGCCTGTCTAGAATGAACGGGAGATGTGTAGAGCAACTGAATGTTACTTTAAGTTAATAATTTCTCTGTATTTCCTGTCTCTTATTCTTTCAAACTGAAATACTTCATTCAAAAACTGAAGAAAATTAATTAGAGGGTTTTTTTTTTCTTTTTTTGCTTATCTAGACCTTAGGCATGCCAGATATTCCTGAATGATTTAACAAATATTGAGGTTTTTCTCTTTAGCTCTAATTTTTATGGGATGACTTAATTCACAAGGATCCTTCAGGTGGGGGTGGGGGTATGTGTTGGTTGATTTTGAGTTGTGGGTTATATGTGAGGATTTACAGCATAAGTCAGTTGCATGTAGGCGAGGTTTGGACTTCTCGCGGGCCTTCTCTCCCCCTGCTGGTGGACCTGGCACCCCGTGTGTGGAATGTTCTGCCATGTGCTCCCCGACCTTCTTCCCTTCCTCCCTCCCCCAGCAGTGCCCAGCGTCTGCCAATCCCACCCTGTGTTTATGTGACCGTGATAAGTGGTTTGTTAAAATGAGGCTTTCTCTTTGTAATATTTTTAAATAATACATGTATGTAGTTATACAAATAACTGTATCTATAGTTATTCATATATTGAAGTGGTAGCAGTGGCATAATATGTAAATGTTGTGTGTGTAATGTTTACACAGCGTTTACTGTGTATCTGACCCTATTCTATGTGTTTTGCTTATATAACCTCTTCAGGGTTGTTGTAAGGCTTAAATTAGTAAGATGCTATTAGGACCCCTTATTGAACACAGGAGGAAACAAGTGCAGAGCTGAACGACTTGCCCAAAGTCACATAGCTGAGATTTGAACCAAACTGTCTGACTTTAAAGTTTGTGCCCCTAACCAATGTACTGTTAATATAATAAACTTGAACTTTGATGTATTTTTTTAACAGATTTAAAACGCAAAAACATTCTCTGTCTTAAGCTGTCAGCAAAGATTTGGGGGTCACTTGCTTATAAAATACGATTTAAAAGAAAATCAGAGAAATCCCTGCTCATTAAAAAAAAAAAAAAACAAGGAATGGGTGAAACAGTGACTTTGTTTTTAAACTAGACACAGATGAGATATTTTATTTGCAGAGATTTTTTTAGTCCTGCCACAGAAAACTCAAGGAAACAATTTTGAAAGTGTGGCAGAAGGAGTGAAACCTTCTGCAGTTCCTGAGCATCAAATTTTTTTCATGTATGCATAAAAGTGGTCAAGTGTGGTGGCTCACACTTATAATCCCAGCACTTTGGGAGCACGAGGCAGAAGGATTGCTTAAGTCAAGGAGCTCGTTCGAGACCAGCCTGGACAACATAGTGAGACCCTGTTTCTACAAAAAAAAAAAAAAAAATTAACCAGGTGTGGTGGCTTGTACCTGTAGGCCTAGCTACTTGAGATGCTAAGGTGGAAGGATTGCCTGAACCCGGGGATTTGAGGTTACAATGAGCTATGATTGCACCACTGCACTCCAGCCTGGGTGACAGAGCAAGATCATGTCTCTTAAAACGAAACAAACCAGTGTATGCATAAAATGAATAGCTGGCATAGCACTACCCTGCTCCCTCTTTGTAGAGCAATGCTATGTTAGGACTGTAGACTCGGTACTTAGTTTTATGAGAGTAACAGAGGGGTAAATCATTCCCCTCCTCCAGTTACTTGGAGATAAGGGAAATAAAGTTGCCCTCTGAGCAAAATTCCTATAAAACAAACCAAAACAGAGTTTGTTTTGAGTGTAGAATGTGGAGTAAACTGTGAGGACACTGTTTAAGATGGGCGGGGCAATCCCAGAGAGGCAGAACTGGTTGTAATTGAGTAAGCAGTTATACAAGTAAGAATATTCTACCATGAATGGAAACACTAGTTAAAATAGAAGGGAAAGATTCATCTTGAGTAATGAAAAAGGATCCCAAGGAGGTGGACATGGGCACTGCCCATTCAAGCACGAATGAGGGGAAAGGGGATTCTGGTCCAGAAGAGTTAACTGTTTCGTTGGTAAGACTGCTGTCTTAACTGAGAAGTTCTGAAGATGGCTTAGATCTTTTTTGCTTATATATGCACTATTGCACATTCTGATACTTTTTTAAATACATTCACTGAATATATAACAGGAAACAGTAGTGACTGCCTTATATAACCTTAATAATCTCTACCACACGTTTTTTCTTTTTCTACCTTTAAATTTTTTATTTTAAAATTATGAGGTGCAGTTCAGGGTTAGGTATACAGCTATTCATTGTGCAGGTACCCTTGTTGATAAGGTGTGCCCCACCCTACCCCAGGCAGTTTCCCACTACTGCCAATCCTACCTCCCCCCACCCATGTCCCCACAGTTTCCCACTAATGTCAGTCCTTTTTTTATAGTAATTCTGATCATTTGACTTTCCAAATAGCTTACTGGTAGGTGAAATAATTAGTCCAAGTAAGGGATATAGGTGAAAACACTATGGTAAATAATGGTAATCGTTGAAGCCGAGTGACGAGTGCATGGTGGTAATGGTGTTCACTGTTTCTTCTCCCTACTTTTATGAGTAAGCATTTCTGTAATAAAATACTTGAGTTGCCCAAAAATGTGGGTACCTCTGCCACTTGGTGGTTGTATTTCTTTTCATAAATTTAGTACAGCAATTGTTCTTGTGCTTTAAGTCATTGCAGTTCAGGTTCCCTTTGGATGTGCTGATAAAACTGGACCTCTGAATTGGAAAGACTGCAGAACATAGCCTGGTTTGAGGACAGTTACCAAAGTAGTGCTCTTATCAGGATAATTGGTGTTCAGCAAGCTAAACGCCCCCGAGAGATGCTTCTAAGTTCCTTTTGCTAGCGGATTTGTTTCCGCTTATTTCGCTGGCCATATCTTTACATCACTATTTCTTAAATCAGAGAGTAGATGTTCTAAAGGTTGGTATTCCAAGACAGAAATTCCTCTTTTGGGGGGTAGTGACATAATTTCTGTGTCATTTCTTCTCCTTGCATTAACCATTCCTTCATCCTTTAAATTTTGCTTGGTTAATTCTCCAGTTCTCTTTTCTGTCTTTGTCTTATCTTTCCCAAAGCTAATAAATAGTCTATTAAATGCTCCTCCCTTCTATTTTTAAAGAAAGTAGTCTATTAGGGCAGACTGTAGCTGATAAATATCAAAATTACTGAGTTTCCTTTATACAAACTATTTCAGCAAATAAGTGAACGTAGAATGATAGAATTATAAAATTATCATTTTGATGAGTTCTAGGCAATGATCATCAGTGCTGCTAACACCACAGAAGGAGAAACAATCAGATATTCATGCTCCTTGGTCATACACAACATTATCAATGAATTGTTCTTAACATAACGTCAAATCTGAACCATGTCTCCAATCTAACTACCAATATATAGGAAATACAGAGAGGACAAAGGAATATGATAAATGACATTATGGAGGTAGAGACAGAGTAAATAGGATCCCAAGTATGGAAAACTGTACAGGACAAATGACCTGATTTCTTGGCGGGCCCGGGAGAATCTATAAAGTACAAGAGACGAGAAAGCTATTAACCCTTTATCATCTGTGAACATTATTTGGATTTGAACAAACCTTAGAAAACCATTTATAATAAGTTTGGGAGAATTTGAATACTAACTGAATAATGATTTTTAAAAGTGCTATATGAAATTATATATCTGAAAATTGCTTTTAAATAATACTGCAGAAGTAGGGTGGGAAAGTAAGTGAAGGTATGGCTGAGACAAGATGAGTCTTGAGTTGATAATTATTGAAACTAGGTGATGACCACATGGGGGTTCAATATACTGTTTTCTTTACTTTATTTTTAAATTTCTGTGACGAAAGTTTTTTTTAAAAAGCTGTTTGTTTTCTAAGTTTGGTCCTACAAACTTCTCTTGGTTAAGTTCAACTTTTTGTGTATAGAATACACTTTAAAACAAGGTCATTTATGCCTTTTAGTATGTCTCATCTATTTCAACTAAATGCTTAAATTTAAATTTAGTTTGTAAAAACTGATTTTTGATAACACATTGGGTTTTAAATGTTTTACCTTTTATTATTATTCTTTCTAAACCTGCAAGCTAATCAAACTCTTGAATTTAGCCTCTTTGAGTTCTTAATTTTTGTATGTCTATACTTTTTGTTTCCTAGATATAAATCTATTTGATGCTTTCTAGTCCAATATATAGCAAATATTAAGCCTCTGAAGATTAGCAGCCTGATACTTGGGAAGTACCTTAACTGTAAATGCTAAGTTGACTTTTTTGGTTTAGTTTTCTTATAGTGTAGCTCTTTACTTACCTTACTGGCTTGGTACTCGTTACAGTCACAGGGAACCTACTGTATTTTTACTTTAGGTACTTGCTACTACCAAGAGACAATGGAAACAAGTCATCTAAAACTGATGACCTGGGGTCTCTTCGATTAAACATATGTTATACAGAAGACTATGTGCTTCCTTCAAAGTACTATGGTCCTTTGAAAACTTTGCTGCTAAAATCACCGGATGTTCAGGTACATTAAAAAACATCTCTCATAATACTATAAGAAAAGGATTGACAGTGGCGGGAAACTATGGGGGGGGAACAGGGAGGGGAAGGGAGGTAGGATTAACAGTAGTCAATATGTCAGGGGACTGGGGGACACCCCTTATCAACAAGGGCACCTGAACGATGCATATTTGTATACCTAACCCTTAACTGTACCCCACAATTTTAAAATAAAAAATATTTAAAAAAAAAAAATCTTATGGGTATGATTTTAATATGAAAAGGCTAAAATAGCTATGTAACTGTGAGAAAAAGATTTCAGAGTATCAAGTCTCATTAAAACAATGAATATATATGTGTATTTATCTAAATCAGAGTATTGTGATTTCAATGTGTGCTCCATATCATCTCTGGGAAAACTTTAAAAAATTAAATGTTATATAAGTTTTAGTTAATAAGCATATTTGAAGTAGTTTTACAGGTTAGTGATTGAACATTTAATCACATTGCCTTAATTTTGTGTTTTTTTGCGTTTCTGTTTTCTAGCCAATATCTGCCTCAGCTGCTTACATTTTGGGTGAAATATGTCGCGATAAAAATGACGCTGTCTTGCCCCTTGTGCGACTGCTGCTGCACCACGATAAACTTGTTCCTTTTGCCGCTGCTGTGGCTGAATTAGACTTGAAGGATACACAGTAAGAGTTTTATTTCTGTGTTAATTCTGTTGAAATATAGCCTTAGTCTGACAGATCATTTTTGTAGTCCGTATTATTTTGTATTGACCAGCCTTCCTGTATAGCAGGCTAAAAAGAGCTGATTAGCAAGTAACAAAAGGCAGTCATTCACACCCATGAGGGTAATAGTTAATGAAGGATTTTCTCTTACTCCGTGATGAAATTTCCTTTGTTATTTTATTTTATTTTATTTTTTGATTTTTTTTTTGAGTTGGAGTCTCACTCCGTCGCCCAGACTGGAGTGCAGTGGCCGCTCCTAGCCACCACAGCCTTGACCCACTGGGCTCCGGCGATCCTTCCGCCTCAGCCTTCCGAGTAGCTGGAATTACAGGCGCACGCTACCATGCCCGGCTAATTTTTGATTTATTGTAGAGATGAGGTCTCGCCAGGTTGCCCAGGCGGGTCTTGAACTCGCGGGCTCAGGCAATCCCCTCACCGCAGCCTCCCAAAGGCGTGGGATTACAGGCTGAGCCACCGAGCCCGGCTTTCCTTTGTTACTAATCTTCATGTAATGATTCTCATGTCACAAATAGAGCATCAGAGCAGAAGTTATTTTTTTCCCTTATTCATTATGTATCACCTTTATATGCACATATGTAATATTCTAAAAAGCAATCAAGTGACTTCCCATTCCCATCATAGTCTAACACTGTTGTTTTATGTACACACACACGCACGCTCTACTTTTTTTATTTATAAATGTGAGGGGTTTTTGTTTGTTTTGTTTTTTACTGATTTTCACATACTTTTGGTAAGTCTGAAAAACCCAACGGCAGCAAGCTTTTAAATACATGGTAAAAATTATCAAAATTGTTTATGTTACCATAGTCAAATATGTCCTATTACTGATTTCACAACCTTTGTTTACTACGCTTGGTTTTTTTCTATTTCTATTTCAGAGATGCAAACACAATTTTTAGAGGAAATTCCCTGGCTACCCGCTGTCTGGATGAGATGATGAAGATAGTGGGAGGGCACTACCTGAAAGTAACATTAAAACCTATTCTGGATGAGGTACAGAATTTACTCCAATAATGATAATTTGTGGCCTTATGATAGTAGCTCTTTCATCAATAGTGATCTGGTTGATGGGAATGGTATATCCATTCATGTGTTACTGAAAGAATAAGGCTAAACTTATTTAAAGTAAAATTAATTACTTTTCTGTCAGTGGGTTTTTACTCAAAGTGACATTATAGTGTAATCTACATAATTATTTCTTTGTTATTGGATTTCTGTTTTAGCTAAAGTTTCAAATATATGAGAAATACTTTTTTGAGATAGTGTTTAGGATAGTGACATACATTGTATATGTTATCTCTGGATGGGGACTTTAAACTTCGGTACAACTTTAATTTTTATAATTAACTTTTATTATCAAAAAAATAAGTTATTTTCGTTTTGCCAAATTTAGTAAGAAGTGTTAACTGAAAAAAATGTATGTATTTTTAAGATATGTGACTCCTCAAAATCCTGTGAAATTGATCCTATTAAATTGAAAGAGGGAGATAATGTAGAAAATAATAAGGTAAGTACTTGTTATATTTATCTTATCATGACATAAGTGTCTCCCACTTACGTTATAATAATGCTGTATGGGGGAGGGAGTGCAGTTTATTCTTTACAGCCTTTGCTGTTAACAGCATTTCCCCATGCTCATTTTTAGAAGTTACTTCCTCAACAATTTCATTTTGTTTTTTTCTTGTCTCTTGGTGCTAGTAATCGTAGTGGATTTAGACAGTATCTAGTAGCAATCCCATGTGGCTAGTCCTTTGGGGTCAAACTGATCAGGCTAAGTGGCACAATGACTTGGTCAATTCGTTTTACTAATAATTGCCTCTGTTAGGGTCGCAAGTTTTCATTGCAGTGAACTGCAATGCCACAGTGTCCTTGTGCTTGCATATCTGAGTTGTTTCCCTGATCAATTTATTCTCTGGTGCTTCTTATGAGGTTTATTCACACATTCACCTGCTATGTCTAGCAAGTCTAAATTTAATTTATTAAATTGGATCAATATGTACATTGTCCTTTAACTGAATAAGTTTGAAGAAGGGAAGCAGGAGTTTAGAAAATACCAGATAATGGCTATCTAATAAATCTCATTTTCATTACTTTTTTTCATAAAGGCTATTGGAGATGTGTGAAAGTCAAAATCTTAATGTTTACCTTTTTAAATCCTGCAGGAGAACCTGCGCTACTATGTAGACAAATTATTCAGTACAATAGTAAAGTCAAGTATGAGCTGCCCCACTGTAATGTGTGATGTCTTTTATTCGCTAAGGCAAATGGCTACTCAGAGATTTCCTAGTAAGTGTCTTGTTTTACTACAATATGCCATTCCTTTTTCTTTAGTTGATTTTTTGTAGGTATTACTTGTATGTTTGGTTTGTGTGAAATATATAAGGTTTATAGGTACAGTCTTTTCTAGTTTTTCAAATTGGTTCTAGTTTTTACATTTTAAAAATATGATTTTTTTTGACTGTCAAAACATATATTCCATTTTATTTCAGTATAAAGGCTTTATATAAAGGAAAATCAAAATCATGATTAGATTTTAAAAAGGCAAAATTTAGAACTATAGCATATAAGTAAACATACAAGAAACTTATAAGAGTTAAATATAATAAACAAAAATACCTTTGTTATTTATAGCATTTTTCCAGTTGCACACATTCAAGTAGTGAGAATCTTTAGTTCCATACAGTTGCTAGTCCATTGCAGTGAACTACAGTGTCCTTGTGCTTGCATATCTGAGTTATTTCCCTGATCATTTTATTCTCTGGTGCTTCTTATGAGGTTTATTCACACATTCACCTATTATGTCTAGCATTTTACAGTTTGAGAATGCTAAGGTTTGTACAGAAATGGTTTTAGATATTAGAAACCTTTCTGTTACAACATAATAGAATTTAGAGGTGCTTATATCAATAACTGGCATGCTTTAATTTTGAAAAACTAGCTATATCAAGTTTTTGCTTAGGAGTTACTATCTCTGACTGTCAGTACTTGGCATTAGTCTCATTTTAATGCATCTCTGATAAGTAAATAAATTTCCTATAGCTGTCTTTCCAGATCTGCCTATAATGGGGGCAGGGGGAAAGAAGAACCAAGTAAGGTGGCTACTTAAATTATCAGTCTTAGCCAGCTGTGCAAACCTCTAAGTTTGTTTCTGTAATCATCTGAAGAGACTTTGTTATTTTATCATGTTCTTTTAAGCGTGTGCTCACTCACACGCATGTACACATGTGCAGTTAACTACCCCTCTGCTAAATCAGCCCAATACTAAAGTGGTGGAGCTAAGTCATCTAACTAACACATAGATATATTCAGATATAGGTGTCTGCTAATTATAGTAAAGACGTAAGCAGTTAACTTCAAATTAGTATATTAAATCTAGTTGACACAACAAAAATAAGGGGAACAAAGACATTAACATATGGAAAGGTGAAATGCTGATTGAATGAAGTTTTTAAATAGTTAGATCATAACCACGTTGATTACTTAGTGACAGGCACAGTGCTAGCTTGCATTATCTTCTACTCTCATCTTCAGAACCCCAGGTGAGGTAGGTACCACTCCCATTAGATAGATAATAAACTGAGGGTTAGAGAAGTTGAGTAGCTTTATCAAGGTCTCTGGCCAGCAGGCAAGCAGGGACATGGCCTACTCCAAAGTACATGCTACCATTCACTGTACTTTACACTAACCAGTGATCCTGACCTTAACTCTGCTTTAGCTGTTTAATTCTTGTTTATATAAATGTTCTAAAACATACTTTGTGGTTTTTAAAAAATAAATGCACATGTATCTCTTTAACTATCTTTTTGTTAGCCTGCATATAAATGTCTTAATATCCTCAGTAGACTATAATAATGACAGTTTTGTGCCATAAAATATTTTCATATTCTCTCATTTGTTCTTCTTACTACCCTGGATAGATGGGGGTAGGTAGAGAGGAAAGCAGGAGGTAGAAAGCAAGTATTATTAAAGAACGACAAATTAAATGACTTGCTGATAGTTACCTTTTGAGAAACTTAAGAAAGTTAAAACTCAGACCAAACCCAGAGAGTCTTTTCATCACCACCTGCTTCTCCACCATCAGATTGTTGTGTTGTGTTGACTCCAGTCTGAGATGAAAATTGTAGATGAATGATCAAATCCATAAATAATCTTCAGTTTATCTGAATTTGTATATGGAATATTGGTAGCTTTTTTAAAAATAAGATTTCCACTTAATTGTTTTTATCACATAACCTTGATAATATTAAGAGTTTTAGGGGAAAATTGAAACAGTAACTTAAAACTGAAAGCAATCTGGTATCCTAACCTTAAGGAATTCAGTGTTACCACTAGGTAGTGCTAGATATTACTTTTATTTTTGTTGTTGTAATTTCAGGAATCTCTTCTTGCAGATGAGGAAAGAGGTATTTTTCAAATTAAAATATTTCTGAAAATCTAGCAGCTTTGCCTTTTATTTTCTGTATTATTTCTTATTTCTTACAAATTTTTTTTTGTCATAGGGTCTTTTCTTTTAATTTAGTCATAATCATTACTATCATTTCATCAACTCAATTCTTCCTAGACAAATTATATTGCTCTTCTGTTTAGTTTACATGTTTCTCAGTGTTTTTACTTTATCATCCTTGTTTTGAATCCGTGTTTTGTGCATGACATTTCACGTTTCTTTCCTGCAGATGACCCTCATGTTCAGTATTCTGCAGTGAGCAGCTTTGTATTTCTTCGTTTCTTTGCTGTAGCCGTAGTCTCACCTCATACTTTTCATTTGCGACCTCATCATCCAGTAAGTGTTTGTTCTTCTCAAAGCTTTATTCCATTTTTATTTTTATTTTTACTAAAATGAAAGATAAAATAAGCCAATTTCACTTGGCTGTGTTTTATTATAACTAATACTTAAATTTACTCAGCATTTTTCGTGGCCATCTCCATTTTTCAGATGAGGCTGAAAATTCTGCCTTTTGTTATTGTTAAAAGATGTTACACAAGAGTGATGAAACGTTGTTCGTTGTTGAAGCTTGGTGATGATTACAAAGGGGATTAATTATACTTTTCCCTCTACTACTGTGTATGTTTGTAAATTTCCATAATGCAAGGAAGTTTTGTTTTGTTTTGTTTTTCATTAGTTATAGGTTTAGTTTGGGTTGGTTTTTGATTTAACAGAACCTGCATTCCTGATTTATTAAGATAGTTTAGTCTTGCAGATATTTTCAAATTGCACAGAAATTTGAGAGGTTTTTTTTCTGAGAGGCGTGGGAACTTTTATTGGAACATAAGTTGTTATTCTCCATATTTTTTTATTCTCCTGAGGTCATACTGTAATATATGAGTCTTAAGTGTTTTTAAAGCACGTTTTCTTCTTGTTCTGAAGTCCTATTTAATTACCAAAATCTAAATCTCCACTGCATAGATCTACATTTTTAAAAATATTTTAAAATTCTTTATTTTTGCTGTTTCTGATTCATTCTCATATACATATTTTTGCTAATTCTTTAACCTTTTATGTTCCAAATATTTTATAATCTTATCTAACTGCTTTTAGTTACTGACTTGTGTAACAAATAATAATAGCCTCCATTTATTTGTTGTTTTCTTTGGGCTAGTTACTGTATGAGGTAAATTCTGTTATCGTCCCCATTTACAGAAAAGGAAATCACAATATAGTACCTTCTCCAAGCTTACACAACTAATAAATTATGATTTGATCTAATCAGTTTGAACTGGATAAAACTGGAATTCTTACTCAGTTTTCAAAGTCTGTGAGCTTAACCCTGTTCCTTTCAACCTCTTTGGCAGACAGATGTTCAAGTACCTGTGAAGCATCAAACACTGTGCTCAGCACTGGAGGAGATACAGTGATGAATACGATACTTTAGGTCCTTGGGAAATACAGTCAAGAGGAGCTGCTTATTGCATTATGTAGTGTAGGAAAGGCACACTGAGTCTTGGCATTAAGCTGGGTGCTGAGGGCTCACTCCTCCTCTTGACAGCTTCACGGCATTGCCACTCGTTTAACTTGGTGAGAATTGAGTAGAACCTTGTTGCGGCGGCAGCAACATACCCTTTCTTGCCAAAGGATAAATGGTCTGTGAGTAGACACAGCAGAGCATGGGTCTGTGTCCCTTTGTCCACAGTGCTGTCCTTTCCATGACTGTGTTACTAAAACTGTACAGGACACTGGGGCAGTGAAAGCTTGGTAGCTGCATTCTGTACGAAAACAGAACTCCTGCCTCTAAACTTGTGACTCTCTGCATTGTATTCAACCTTCAATTTGCATACTCCTGTAACAGAAGTTGAAATAAAATCCTTTTCACTACAAACTATATTTGAAGTCACTGTTTTCCAATCAGTATGCCAGAAAAACTGTTTCAAAACTGTAATACAATTTTATTTTTTGCCTGTATCTCTACTTTTATCCCTACTTTTTAAGAACTTTCAGTCTAACTGGGGAAGTAACTGCATACTAACTCTAAAACTAGCACATGATTAGTACCAAGTAAGAAGTCTAGACAGTTTATACCACAGAAATTGAGGGCAGGGACTGATTCTAGTGACCTCAAGGCAATGACATTGTCAAGACCAATATTGAAAGTTACAGAATGATTGGGGAGGAGAAGTTGTTGGATTTTACATTTAGAAGTTCTTGGAACTTTTAGAAACCAGTTTTAGTAGAATAGAAGAAAGTCAGATTGCAGAAGCTTAAAGAGTAAGTAGGTGAATGCAGTTTACCTAGCAAATGTATCAAAAGTGCTTGTCCTGCTGCTGAAAGACATGAGCAAATTCAAGCTGGTACACGTGTTCACATACATGAGTGAATAGTTTTTTTAAAAAAGAACAAAACACTAATTTTTAAAATATGAGTTATTTTAACATTGACATGACAGACTACTCTTCTGAGAAATTTCATGGTAGAAAAATGAAAAAATTTGGACTGTCCTCCTCATTATATTCCCCATTCTCTTGTTGGTAGCTCCTTTTAAGACCCAGCACAGGCAGACTTCTTTGGTCTGGTCTATATGCCTCTCTCTTGTGTGCCTTTAGTACCCTGTGTCTCTCATGTCATTTGTCATACTGTTTTATAATCATCTGTTTATAATCTCTGCTTGTGGACTGTCAGTACCTTCAGAACAAGGCTGGATCTGGCTCAGGGTTGTGTATTACAAGCATATGGCACAGTTTCTAAGACAAGTAGCTGCTCAGTGTTTGATGAATGTAAGGTAGTAGCTCAGAGAGGGAACTCATCAGAGGATGAGTCTTTCTCTAGATGGGAAAACCTCTGCATGGTTTAAATAGAGGGGACTAGACTGGCAAAAAAAGAGAAGTTAAGAAGAAAAGGGGCTGAAAATACCAGATCAATAATATTAGTTACTAGATCCTACTAATACCTGTAGGATTCAGAAAGAGTGTCTTTAAAAGAAAAAGTAATGGGGTTAACTTTGGAAAAGAAAGAAAAACTGCTCATTCAAAATACTATGTAGAACCATAAGAAATTGTTTTGTGTGGATCAAAAATGGTCAAATAATGGTAATTTCATATTAGTCAATCTAATATAAGGAGAAAATAGAATATGTGAATGTATACCAAGTTACCTTGAGGTAAAAAATTCAATATTTCAGTTGAATTGAATAAATGTTATATAGCCTCTACTAAGTGCCAGTGCCAGGCTGTGTACTAGATGCCAGTTGACTAAGGTCTTGGTCACCCAAGAAAGGCAGTATCATCTATGAAAAATTATGGTGGCAGTGGAAAATTTTAATACAGCTTATATAGTGAGTTCACCAGGAAATTACCAGTAGCTGAATGGCCTGATTGTCAGATAGTAGTGAGGGTCATGTTGATGTAAACAAACCTCTGATGTACAGAAATTGTATAAAACATGTTTTGTTCCCTTTTGCTAGTTTAGGGAAGCTGTGATCTAAAAAAATGAATTTAAAACCAAACTTTAATGGCGAAGTCTGATGAAATTCAGTTTACCATGACATCTTTAAGAATTTTATTTTCTTCAAAGGCAGAGAATTATAGGGACCTTTATAAATATAATGACATGCTGGATGTTCCAGCTGAGGTATTTTCTGAATAACCGTAATTTAGATGTGCTGTTTTGTGAGCAAATAATCATATCTCAGATATCCCTTCCTTCTTTTCTAGATTGCCTTACATCCTGGTCATATCTTTCCCTGCATATTCATTACCTGTTTTCAATGTGGGGATACTAAAATAGTAAGGAATGTCAATCAAAACCTAAACTAGACCTTTTCTGTATCTAGACTTTTCTCATTATGTCTTCAGATAGAAGATGTTGTTTACTTGAATCCCCAAAACAAAGGAAAATGACCTATGTCTTAACAGAAGAGCTGGTTACACAGATTTATAGAATGGTGAAAACCCGTAGGCTGTATATATGCTTAAGACTTGTTCATTTTGCCGTATATAAATTATATCTTAATTTTTAAAAGAAGGAAGGAATAAAGACTCATGAGGGAATACTGCTTAGTCAATTTTATTTACATTTACTTCTTTCAGGTAGACAGGCCTGAAAAGCACCTTGGATAATAGACTCACTTAGTTACCCTCTGGTAAGAGCCTTTGTGAACTGGGTGACTCCTCGCTTCCTAAGCTGAATTTAGGCCTTTGCTTCCATGATGAAAAGAGTTAATTGCAGAAGCCATATAAAATATTGAAAATGTTTAGAAATGGGTCAAGCACAGAAAATTTGGAAAACCTAAAACTGCCATTTTAAATTGTAAGACAGAAAGAAGTAGATGCCATTGACATTCCAAAAGTGAATATAATTGATCAGATAATTCAAGTTGTCATACTGTATAAAACAACTTACATATAATATTGATTAAATCGTGACTTTTAAAAGTGACACATTTTTAAAAATAATCACTTTGAGAGAAATTGTCAATGGCATGTAACTTCTTTAATCTTTTGATTCCTTAGTCCAGTGACTTATACCCAGCCTTAGCTAGATTTCAACTATGTTAGTCATTTGAGTGAACACTTTTGAGTCACTGTTTTAGAGCAATGTAGCATGTTCTATTCTACATTTTATACAAATTATATTTCTTGAAAACTGAACAGCATTTTGGTCTTTTTTACATTCTTTAGGATGCACAGACAATTAGAACATTAACACTCATCTCAAAAACCATTCAAACTTTGGGAAGCTGGGGAAGTCTATCCAAAAGCAAGGTAAGTCTTTCCTTCTTTGACTTTGTGAGACTTCTAAATGGTGTTAAATCTTATGATCCTTTCTCCTTCACTCATCTTCTTCCAAATTAAAAACAAGACACAGAGATAGATAGAAGCAACAGCTGTCTTTTAGGTAGATACTGCATCTTAGTCACCCGTTCAAGAGGACAGTTTCAGAAACCAGGCACAGTAGCTTGCCTCTAGTCCTACCTACTTGGGAGGCTGAGATGGGAGGATTGTTTAAGCTCAGGAGTGGGAGACTGCAGTACACTATTATTATTGCAGCTATGAGTAGCCACCACACGCCAGCCCAGGCAGCATAGTGAGACCCTGTTTGCAGGGGGAAAAGAAATATCAGTTTAATGAGAACAAAAAAAAAAGGAAAGTTTTATTTAAACTGATAAACCTGAGAGGGGGAGAACGTCTGGTAAGAAGATGGAAGAGCAGTCTATTTATCTGTGCTATAAACATCAACTTTGAAAGAAGTCTTATGCTCCAAGTTCTGTAACTCTCTGGAAATATATGATCAAATCATTTTAGGCCTTAATCCTCAGCTTAAAAATTCAGTCCATTATATTCTTAGTTCTCTACTTAATGCATATAAATCCTATGTTTGTTTTTTCTTAGTCAAGTTTCAAAGAGACATTCATGTGTGAATTTTTCAAAATGTTTCAAGAAGAAGGATATATTATAGCAGTTAAAAAGGTATGATTGTTTTACTTTATAAATATTAACATTTATTGTTATATAGCTTAGGGAAAATAACATTTCATAGTCCTAGGAATCAATCCCCAGTTAAAAAACAAATGTTTATACTGCCCATCAAAAAAGCTCAATTTTTTTTCTCTTATACAAAGCTGTTTTTCAGCTGTGAAAATACCTAACCGTTTCTAGCAACAGTTACTTGTGCCAGTGTCTTAGTAACACCCATTACAAATGTCTAAGGCTAGGGTTTCTCAAAGTGTCAGTAGTAACATTTTGGACTGCATAATTATTGATTGTGAGGGACTGGCCTCTGCATTGTAGGATGTTTACCAGTATCCCTTGCCTCTTCCCATTAGATACCAGCAGTGTGCTCCCAGTTTTAATAGCCAAAAATGCCTCCAGACGTTGCCAGATGTTCCCTGAGGAACAAAATTGCCCTCAGTTGAGAACCCCCAGTTTATAGGGGTAAAGGCTTAATATGTTGCCTGATTTTTAGTAGACACTTAGTTGCCAGTGGTTAAAGAAAAAAAGAATTATTGTGCATTTAATAAACAATGTAAGTTTATGGTAGGAACCTAAGGAAGTTATTATAAATTAAAATGTACAAAAGCCAGGATATAATATCTTAACATGAGGCCTACAACATGAAAAAAAATGTGTTCTTTAAAGTCGAGAATGTTTTGAAAGAATCTTTAATTTTTTTGTCTTTAGTCTTTAATGTGGCATTATTATAAAACTATGAAAACTTGTTTTTAAAAAAGTTATCTTGATATGTCTAAAGTGGGCTTGAAGAAAATACTATATCTTACCACAATCCCAACTGTGAATCCAAATTAGTATAGACAAATTTTAAAGATTTCATTGAGTAGCAGTGATTGCCAAGAGTATATTTTGTTGAGATATATGTTTGGACTTTTAAGATTCTTAACAGAGACTCAGCAAATGAAAGTAATGATTTTTTTTTAAGTTCATTAGAATTTTTTTTATCCAGAATAGTGCATGTTCAACCAAATGTTTTTTTCAACAAACCATTGAAGCCTTTTAGAAGAAGTCTTTTAGGACATTGTTGAACCATTTGTGTGACAGTGTAGGCTGACTTTTGTTGGCAGGATTATGATGTACTGTCTTTTGTTTTGGGTTTGTTTTTCCATGTTTTATGACCAAGGCTATGGCAGCGTCTGATTTTTTTTTCCCTGATATAATCAGAATGTGTAGCGCTGATAATGTCAGTGATGTAAGGATGCCAGGAGTTTAGTCTGTTCCTGATCTACCCTCAGTCACCCACTCACATTCTAGTGAGCTGTCCCCATTCTACACCTCCTGTCTCAGATTTGGTTCTAGAGTCCTAAGCTAGCATAGGATATTTTGTCCTAATATCCTAATTTTTGTATTATTTACTAATTAAGTCTGAGTATTTGCAGTGCTAGAAATTGTAAAACTTTAGAAAGTCACATTTCTCATTTCATACTGGCACTCTCACTAGTGGCATTGACCATTGCTCTAGAAGAAAATGGACTGTAACTCTGAATCATATACTGTTCCTCACAGAGTTTAAGAAGGGTAACCTGGAAAGTATAGTTACCATATACTTTGGTGTCTAAACCATGGCACTTTTAAGAGTGAAAAGGAGTACTATTGATGATTATTCTGGGACACTAGGGATGGTTCTCAGCAAACTGGGATGTATAGCCTGCCTGTAGTCCATTTTAATTATTGTTTTCTTTCACTTTATATATCTATACTACCCCATAGTTTCCTAAAACTATAATAAGTAATAATTGTTACAAATAATATTTGAAAATTAGCCGGGCTTGGTAGCGCGCACCTGTAGTTCCAGCTACTTGGAAGGCTGGGGCGGAAGGATCGCCGGAGCCCAGCAGGTCGAGGCAGCGGTGGCCGGAAGCGGCCACTGCACTCCAGTCTGGGTGACAGAGTGAGACTCCAACTCAAAAAACAAACAAACAAACAAAAAAACAAATGATATTTGTTAAGTCTGACTTCAGGTAAAAACTAAGAAATGAAATGTTCAAATAACTCTGTTACATCCATTGGTGGATGGCCATCTGTGAAAACTGATAGGGCACTTCTTTAGTTCCCATGGATGCTTGTACCTGCATCACCCACATGTAATGCAAAAGGAGCTCTCTCCTTGCCTTTCCACTTACGAAGATTTTCTTCCAGTCAAGTAAAAGTAAACCTTCTACTAGAAAACTCCACAAGTGTGGGCTCTGGTGGGCAATCTACAGCCAATCGTAGAAAGAAAGCCGTTGTGCTTACAAATTCTACATTGGATTACCCTGGAACCTCTGTGTCATCCCTAATGGAATGTGCTATGTTTCTATTTGTCCTTAGCAAAACAACATAGAAAAATATAAAGGACAAAGCAAGGAAATTGAGACCTTCTCTGAGTTTGTAGTATCCAACTAATGAATTAAGGAAGTGGATAGTTTATTTAGGGGGCAATATAGGATTCTTCTTTAAGAATAAGAATTATTCTCAGCCGGGCTCAGTGGCTCAGCCTGTAATCCCAGTGCTTTGGGAGGCTGAAATGAGTGGATTGCCTGAGCCCACGGGTTCGAGACCCGCCTGGGCAACTTGGAGAGACCTCACCTCTACAATAAATCAAACATTAGCTGGGCGTGGTAGCACACGCCTGTAGTTCCGGCTACTTGGAAGCCTGAGGCAGAAGGATCGCCGGAGCCGGGCAGGTCAAGGCTGCAGTGGCCGGGAGGAGCCGGCCACTGCACTCCAGTCTGGGCAACAGAGTGAAACTCCA